CAGCGGAAAGACGCCAAGCAGCACAACGAAGATGGCTGTGCTGGAAGTTGGTGCTGGCTGCTACGACCAACTAGTTGCCATTGGCCAACTTAACGACTCTCATCTGAGTCTAGACGTTCGACCTGTGCATTCAGGTCTCCAGCTAGCACTATGATATCTGTCGAGCGCATTTGGTTGAGGTCAGACAGTTAATAATAGAATTCATGCTTAGTGTCACACATTGGGCTGCAATCTGTCTGAGTATAGGCAGAGACGACAGAGACACCGTTTCTCTTGCCGAGTACTTCTCACTCGAGGTAAACCTTCTAGCCTAACAGTGCACCGACAACTATTGGCGGGGATCCAGTCGAGTAGTGCAGCTTCAGCTCTGAGACACCGACACCAAAGAGACCGGTTCCCTTTACCCCAGCATCCACAAATAAGCGCACATGAAACATACTTTTCAAGCTGACAGATGGGAAACCAATTCGAAACACTTCACTGTAATCTTGTATGCGGGTCTCTGAGATGCAGCACACATCAATAACTAGGCTTTCCAAAGTGCTAGACAAATCTGCCTGTCGTCCGATCTGCATCAAGGTGTGAACGTTGACGGTGGGGAACTTGAACCATATGTCCGGTCTCAGGATAGCAGAGTCGGATGTCGCACTGGGGGCAACTGTTTAGCGACTCAAAACTGTACAGACAGATCAGAAGTTCATGCAGTGGAGAGCAGATTAGTGAAGGTGATGATAAAGACAAGGGTGAAACTGGTAATAATAAAAATACAGTTCATATGTAGAAGCAACAAAAACGATATTATATCAATAAAATGAGTAGTCGATTAAAATGTTTGTAGTGTGGAGATCTTGAGTATTTTCAGGCAAGTTGGTTAATTGCTTGTAAATCTTCATTTTACATTGTAAATTCATATTTTGTGTGAGGGCTGGAATACTGCCCAGGTGCCCGGATCGAAGCAGTTGGTTGTCATGTGGGATCAGTCCTCGAGCTCTTCACTTGAAGTCTAATCCATAAGGTAATGGAGCAACATCAGGAGCTGCATCCTCATGGTTTTCAGTGACTTAAATAGGTTCTTACGCCATTCACTCCTTTTGGAACCTGAAGCCCATGTGTAGCACTGGTTTGGAATCAGGGTTTTCCAACTCCCCTGGGTGTACCTCAGTATTCTACTGATCCGGTGGCAAGCACTGGACATTCGCTTGCTCTCCTTCCCATCCGGGGAAAACACGCGTGATTCGTGAAGACGGTTAGTAGGACTTTTCTGGCAGAGACTGTGTCAAGTACGTTTAAATACGGTGGCTAAAAGCCAACGTTTTTGTAACGAGATACACTATATGATTGATACTGAGAAACTACTTAGAATGTAGCACTTAAAATGCTTGAATTTAACGGAGAAGAAGTACAAAAGAGAAAATAATACACTGAAAGGGAATCAGAACAAGTTTTACAAAAATCTTGTTTCAGCGACAGGAGAAATTTGATGAAGACTGATATGATTAATTGAGAACTGCTCATACTAGTTACGAATGCTCAATAGTCAAATTTCAGTGATCTTAATATCAGAGGATCAGGTTACAGGTTTGCTTTTCTAACAGTTTGCCCGAATTAATTTATCTAGTGGAGTCCAATTGTTCAGCTTGCTTAAAATCTGGCTCCTCATTTGATTCTTCACTTAAACACTTAGCAGAATATGGGTAGCAAGAGATGGGTTATACAAAGTATTTATAGCTACATTAGGAAGATATAAAGGTGACGTAGAGTGAAGAAGAGAAAAAGAGCTGCAAAACAGGTAATTAGAGAAGCATACGTTAATCTCGTACTAATTCTGAGCCATTTCTGCCATAATCTCAAGCCTATGTGATCCGTTATGCGTCTTAAAGAAAACCCTTTATATAAGTGTAGAATTCAGAGACGCAGCAGCTTTATTCCTTAAAAACCACCTCTCAACATCTTTGAAGGAGACAATTTACGAGAACTTCTCCGGTAGATAATTAGTACATAGTAGCCCAGTTGGTAGAGCATCGGGCCAGGAAACCTGGTGTCGATGTTTAGAATCCTGTCGGGGTTCAAATTTTCATTTCACGTTCAATCATCACCTAGTATCAATTAGTACAATAATGTGTTAAGGACAGAGCACAACTTCTAGCCACTTCAGTCCAACTGTTGGTGAGTGATGTAATACATACCGGTAGTACACCACGTCAAACGTATAAAAACATTTTGTCCCATCTTGCTACCTAAGAAAGCTAGAAATGAATATCAGCATTTCTGTTATGGAACAGTCTTCCACTAATTGCTTCACAAATTCTTCAGCCTCTACACAATCAAAATACTTCCACTAAGTCACCTGTGGCATCATTGACATTTCATAACCGTAAACATGAACTGTATACTGGAAAAGACGATGTGAACTCACTAGCCTTACCATGGTCACAGTAGTCATTTCCATTGTGTAAAAACACCACCTGCCGTTTTGTTATAATCTTCCAGTTTCAGGTTGGCTGATTCTTTTTCATGTTTACTATGTAATACCACTTTCCAGTTCCATTTCAACAACTCTTGCTTTACCTACCATGTTACCTCTCTTACTTTGCAACAAGTTTCCAGAATACTCTATCATTTACCGATTAGTTCAATTAATTCTTTGTAAATATGAGTCCACTTGTGAATCCTTTAAGAAATGATACTGTCGAAAAGAAATGTTTTCTCGTTGTACCTCTTTGTTCTATGATTAAATATGGAGATTTTTCGTTCCTTTAAGTTGTTTAAAGCACGGGTCGATTAATGAATAGCTCGAGGTCTTTTCCCGCACTGCTTCGCTGGAAAACATTTCTTCCTGTCTTCATGTATTCACTCAGAGCGGTAGCTATGATGGTGGAACACTTGTTCCCTCGAGGTTCTGGTATGCCAGAAAGGTGTGTTTTTGTTGTAGTGTAAATTAGTACACTATGATGGGCTCTGAGGGCAAAGCCGTACTGTCGCTAGCCGGATACGGTGCGATAGCAGTAAGGTTTTTCTCTTGGATGACCAGGAGGGCCACTCTGATACTGCCTTCCCTGTGGAAAAGAGGAAGGGTTAGAAAAGGTCGGCCACAAAAATAACACACTACAACCTGCCCCACGGTCTTCCGGTGTCGATGGTAGAAAAACCAAGCCTCGAAACATCATCCCGGAAAAGCCCACGAGTGACGCTTCGAGCAGATCTCCCATGGGATCTGCGGTCACACAAATCATTTCACAGTGTGAGCAGCCGAGAAGTATCAACCGCTCGCACGCTTCCAGTGGTACACAAGACCTAATGAAACATAACGTATCCTCCTCAACTCTGTTTTTACCTTTGCCTTCACCTCTAGATACTAATATTAAGCCTCTCACAACTTCCTCAACCTCTCACTCTACAACCGTTGCCAACGATCAAAGCCACCGGAACCTCATTCTTAGTCTTCTAAGATCCCACCATCGATTTCAACGTCGCAATTCTATGGCAGATCGGACAGTAAGGATCCCTCGCAAGAACTCTTAGATCTGTGTCCATGGATGTCTGCTATGTCTCTGAGACACCTACACAGGATACAAATCTGGTTATTAAATTGACCTCACCTGACGACTGCTATGAATCTTTAACATTCACCTTAGGAGTATCCGGAGGCCCGATGGCTAGCTCTCTCTCAATGAGATGTAGGGCAGATTATGCTCCTCAAATGAATTTCAGTAAACAGCCGTCTACTTACTGTTCGACTGAATGGATCTGTGAGAACTAGAAAGGATCGTGAAACTAGATGTCTATTCGAAATCCCCGTCTACGTACTCACCGACTGCAGTTCAGATGATACAAAGCATGAATTCTTTGACATGCTGTCCGCCTTGCTATAGAAAGAAAAACGTTCAGATGAAGTCATAATGGCAGGTGACTTTAACGCTCGACTAGGGAAGTTGAGCCAATCGGAAAGGCATCTTGGGGGTATTTACGGAATCCCATGTCAACGAAACAACAACGGTGATCGTCTCTTTCAGTTTTGTCCCGATAGTCACTTGTTTCCGGCCAGCAACTTAGTGAACTAAGTTATTTTGTCTAATTAGATCAACAGAATTTTTTAATCTACTAAGCTTATGACTAAGTGAGTTTGTAGGTTTAAATGCCACTCTAATCCCTAACTTATTGAAAATGCATCGTAGCGCTTCTTAGGTATCTTCCTCCAGCAACACCCGCTCCAGATACATGAGAAATCCTACTACTCATATCACAAAGAAAAGGAGAGGATCAGAACTACATCGATCCATATCTCAATGTCTGGAGCTGTAGCTTATGGTTTGGAGGGATGACTTTCAACCGGTATGTCACTACTTCGAGCCCCGCCCCACCTACCGGGGCCCTTACACAACAAGTGTGGCTCATTAGCTACTGCACAAATGTGCACAAGGTAACTGAGTGCATTCCCTTGCCTCCTTCCTATGTCTCAATGCTGTGGAATTACCCAATATGAATATCAGCAATAAATTATGTCCAAAAAACTATGCGTTAAATAACAATTACTATTTCACTGTGTCATACAGCGAATAAATCGACTGAAATGGAATTACAGTCTACTACAGTCCCCAAGTTTCACTCCTATATATGAATAATCATGCTATCTGTTTACCTATAATTTATTTATCATAGTGAAAGTAATACCATACTTTATAAAAGAAACAAAATATTTTGATTGTATTGTAGATTTACTATTGCGACGTTGATTTCAATGCATAGCAAGATCAAAATTATTGGTAGTATAGTAGGCGCCGGGATGAGTGTGTATTTGTGTGTGACAGAACATGTGTGGTAAGCAGAGGGTAGGGCAATTTAAATCACAGATACCTTTTATAATATATATATATATATATATATATATATATATATATATATATAAGTGATGATCACCATTAATGAATTAATCAAACGAAGTGCTTTACTCTTTTCATAAGCGAATAATATTAGTCCAGTTTAGTCAATCACTTAATTAACTATGCAGTAATCGATGATGATTGGTTAAGATTGGAGTGCTGATTTAGCGAACCAGAGACTTCGAATCTCATAAGATGATCTGTTGTTGATGTCTGAATCATTCCTGTTGGTTTAATATACGTATTATGACGAAGTTTCAGTAAAACCTATCAGGAAATTTTAAAAAAAACCACAATTAAGTTATAATATCTAGTAGTCCTTAAAAAATGCATACACATGAAATTATCCTGCTCTCTGATTAATTTATCCGTAATCAACAACACTAGCAAATTCAAATCAGTATTGACTGTACTTTTATGAATAAAACTGTTTACATCTCAAAAGAAAGGCTAGATTACATAAGCATTGGGGTCATTGTCGGTTTTGTGACACCTGCCGATCTATCATACGGGTTAATAGCGGTGTAATTCTTTTAGACGAAAAACGTCATGAGACCCGGATGAAAACGGCAAAAAATCAATCGATTGCAACGTAATAGCCGAATCGAAACGGCAACTGCACCCAGCTACTACTGGATGAAAGTTATTCTTGTTTGAGCGAGTGCTAATAAGGATTGCTGAGTCAGTGAGATAATGTAAGAGAAAGACGATGCTCGCCAACAGCCTTCAAGGATGCTTAGAAAGTTTGACTTGAGTACACTTTACAATGCTCTACTGATAGCTGCCACCTTGACGTGATGTTCACAATATCACAATAACCCAACGAGTTACACGAGCTGAAACGCTTATTCCCTAAGATCCAACCATGCCAGAAAGGTTTGTTGGATAAAACAAAAGATAGTTACCGTTGTGGGGGTAAATTAGTACGCTTTGATGCGAGTTCGAGGGTGAAGTCGTACTGATGGCTGGAAGGGTGTGACAGCACTAAGGTGGTTCTCATGGATGGTCAGCAGTGCCGTATTGGTGTTACCTTTCCTATAGAAAAGGGGCGACTAGGAAAGATTGACCCTAAAAATAGTGCACTCTCTACTCTGCAGTATTCCCGTGTCGGTAGTATGAGTTTTTTCCATGTTGCATTAGAACAATCAAATCTCAAACCAACAATCCTCAATAGTCTGTGTGCAACAGACTCTACGGTCGCGTGAGTCTATTCCTTTTTCTCTTACAGATACGCTGCAGAAACAACTTTCACGGAGTGAGCAGTCAAGAATTACCAATCACCTGCAGGGATACCTTCCAGTAGTATTGTATTCACGCTCTGCCAAATGCTCGAATATCATCACATGTGTAATAGACCAATAATCATTGTGGTTCAGAATATTGGGGTTGTCCTCAATCCACTGAACAGAACTGTGCTTTAAAGTTTATTAACACCATGGAAACGCTAGCTGTAAACACCTGAAGTCGGAAGAAATACAGCATAAAACCACCTTTATTCATTTTTTCAAACTAGCAATAGGCAGGGCTACCAGATTTTTTCATCCATATCATTGACGGTATTTTGAAACAGCCTTGAATTATGTACTAAGTAGAGGTGTAAATCTGCTAGCATGAGAAAATTTGTCAACCTCAAGTATGTGGACGATACCATCTATACGACTTCTACATCAGATACAATTAACACCGTGATTGATTAGAGAAAAAGCAAAAGGATGACAAGTGGTATAGAACAATGAAGAAGAGTTGCTTTAACTTCATACCATTTGAAAAGACCATGCAACTCAACAGCTTACAGTATTCTTAAATATGGCTTAAAAGTTTAATGCCTTCTACTCTGATATGCTGGTCTCGTGTAAGATGAGTCAACTTGGACTGTTACACAGTGGTACCAAGTCTCACCTTGATGACAATCTCATCTTATTTGAAAACTGAAGCTAGTGATTAATAGGCTTATGTTTAGCCTCCTTTCGTTCTCCATACAAGTATAGTAGAATGATATGTGACATACAAAACAAAAGAAGCGATTTTTTTCTTGATTCTGTTCTTATTTAGACTCTCCTACTTTTTGCTATTATGCTTAACATTGTGTTCATATTATTGACAATTTTAATAATTTAAAGATACCCACAGATTATTGAAAATAAGAGTAATTTGAGTGAGCCATTGTCTTCAATAACTTCTTCAGGCACTCCAGTTATAAATCCATGAGAATAAGTGAAATACAATGATGTACAATTTTTACTATATTGGAACATTCAGTGTTGTTATAGGTGAATGGATATCAAATTGAATGGAACGGTGGAATCGTTATCAGTCTAGTGTGTTAGTTGTGCAATGAAATCACTATTGTCAGAACAGTTACGAAATAAGGAGGAGATAAAATCTACAGATGATGATTCATTTATATACATCTATTGGTGCATGAATGTGTGTGTGTGTGTGTGTGTGTGTGTTTGTTACAAAGGATCAAATAATAATTATGTAGTAATGAGTTATATTCAAGTGGGAAGGCAATCATGTGAAACAGAGAATAACAAATGTGAAGTGTTATATCACGACTGAAAATGACTACAGGTTGTGGTATGAATAAAGAAAGGTGTAAAGCTAATAACATAAGAAAATGAATGTTCATCAAGGTAATGACAATACAGAAGAAAGGTAAACAAAGTGGATGTACATATTTCTTTTGAACACACAGGTCGGGTTTTCTTGCATTGATCCCTATGACTTCGGTGATGGATAAGATGAGAAGTCGTGCACCTTTAAACAGACTGCAAGGGATACAAAAAAGGCGTGATCTACTTTGATCTACTAGATGTGAGTGGATTGAACTGTTGATGCTCTTTGTCATTCCTTTCCCTAACCGAGGTGGTACATGTTCACGAGCGCGCGTACATAGAACCCTTTGAGTACAACCTATATAACTAGCTCCACAGGAGCAGTTGAACCCATAAAAGCACATTGAAGTGACCATCATAGGTAACCTATCGTTAGTTCGCTGTGTCAGTAATGGTTTGGTTGAGAAGCTGACAAAAAATTTGTGCTCCAGTGAATGTCTTTTTGACCGATCTACTTGGTCGATATGTTAAGATATCAGAGGCATTGATCAATGTAGATGCAGTTCAGTTTAGTTATGAATTCGAGTGATGAAGGAGAACTAGCTATGCAGAATAAAAAGGATACAAGGTGAAGACGTAGACACTAATTTCCACAGGAAACTCAACCACTCGAATCAATAGTTTGACTTCAGATCATCTCTTATATCATGCATGCAATATCTACTAGATGTGAGTGGATTGCACTATTGATGCTCTTTGTCATTCCTTTCCCTAACCGAGATGGCACATGTTCACGAACGTGCATGGATAGAGCCTTTTGAGTATGGCGCATGTAACTAGCTCCACAGGAGGAGTTGACTAAGTTTCAAAGGTGATATTGTCACGGATATCTTAACACATCGATTAAGTTGACCGGTTGAAAAGACATTCACTGGAGCACAAATTTTTGTCAGCTTCTCAACCAAACCATTACTGACACAGCGAACTAACGATAGGTTACCTATGATGGTCACTTCAATGTGCTTTTATGGGTTCAACTGCTCCTGTGGAGCTAGTTATATAGGTTGTACTCAAAGGGTTCTATGTACGCGCGCTCGTGAACATGTACCACCTCGGTTAGGGAAAGGAATGACAAAGAGCATCAACAGTTCAATCCACTCACATCTAGTAGATCAAAGTAGATCACGCCTTTTTTGTATCTCTTGCAGTCTGTTTAAAGGTGCACGACTTCTCATCTTATCCATCACCGAAGTCATAGGGATCAATGCAAGAAAACCCGACCTGTGTGTTCAAAAGAAATATGTACATCCACTTTGTTTACCTTTCTTCTGTATTGTCATTACCTTGATGAACATTCATTTTCTTATGTTATTAGCTTTACACCTTTCTTTATTCATATCACAACCTGTAGTCATTTTCAGTCGTGATGTAACACTTCATATTTGTTATTCTCTGTTTCACATGATTGCCTTCCCACTTGAATATAACTCATTACTACATAATTATTATTTGATCCTTTGTAAACAAACACACACACACACACACACACACACATTCATGCACCAATAGATGTATATAAATGAATCATCATCTGTAGATTTTATCTCCTCCTTATTTCGTAACTGTTCTGACAATAGTGATTTCATTGCACAACTAACACACTAGACTGATAACGATTCCACCGTTCCATTCAATTGATATCCATTCACCTATAACAACACTGAATGTTCCAATATAGTAAAAATTGTACATCATTGTATTTCACTTATTCTCATGGATTTATAACTGGAGTGCCTGAAGAAGTTATTGTCAATGTATTCAGTATGACAAATCGGTTACCAAGTTTTGTTTACGTTTAACAGAGACAGAATGAGTAGATTTGGATTACTGTGTCTGACTTCATACTATGTTGTCTGAATCTCTAACTATGAAGTTTATAGCTCTTTATAGGGGTCAAGCTTTATCCGAGAGTGATACTGAAAATGCAAATCAGTGATCAATCACTCATATGGTTGACTTACCTTTCATTTTTACTGGCCACTAGGTAAGTGTTACAAGTGATATCGAAACGCAACCAGCTACCTTATCCACGTTCATGCAGTAGGCAATAAACCCAACCCATAGTATGAAAGCAACAATTCATAGTCTTTAACTGCTGGTCTGAACCGAGTAGGGCGGATGTCGACTACCCGACTAGGGTTCTTGAGACCATAAGAATCAGTTGTTGAGCACATGCTGATGTGTTCACACATCCAACACCTAAAGTTTGAATATTTTCACTAACATTTATCTTCAAATAGTCTCTTCCGTCATACGCCTGTGACACCAGTCTTTTCTATCCATATATTCTTTTCATGATGCTTCGAATTGTAACAATTTGAACCAATACACTTTTATGCTAAGTTCTACATTGACTTCATCTTTCTGTCTGTGAAGGCTAACGATATTATCCAGCTGCTCAAACCTCGACAGGTGGAATGAAATTCAATCTCGTGACTCACTAGATGAAATTACTTACCTAAACCAATGGGCAACAGTTCCACTCAACTGATATGGGTTTCACTAGTTAAATAAGTGACTAGTTTTCTTCGGATGAAAGTCTATCAGTATATATATATATATATATATATATATATATATATATATATATATATATATATATATTGAAAATAAAAACAACTATCATCGCCTATTTCCGGTTAAAAAAAACTACCTAACTAGTGTTTCACCTTCACATTTCTAGTTTATTATCCTTTTTTTTTAGATTTCTTCCTGGGATATGAGTATGTGGCGTTTTTTCTTAGGTCACTTCGTTCAGTGGTCCTATTATAAGACTTCGATCAGTGCCAAGTACGAAGGATTAGACAGATACACACATGGGGGGTTACCCATTACTGGTGATCAACTCGTGTACACAATCCAGTCCTACAGAGAGTCAGTCATCGCCTGAATAGCCCAGTGGTTAAGTCTCTGACTTTAACACTAAGTGAGACATTCAAGTTATCAAGGGTATACCAGTTCTCCTAAGTTTGCAGATACACGTTGATGAGATTAATGACAACAAACATGAAACTGAAGTCCAGGAATTTCTACCAATAGATTTCTAATATAAAGAAAAGAATTCAATTCATAATATACTACAAAAAAGACATACTTTTAAATCAGCACAGCGATTTCTTTCAGCTTGTATAGCTTCTAATGATCGTGCATTAAGTTGTTCTAGACGAGCATTGTCCAGTGTAAGTTGATGGAGTGTTGCAGCTAATTCTAGTTCACATTCATCTTCATCTTCCTCCTCCTCATCATCTTCCTGTTCATCATATTCAGCTTCATTTTCTTTTTGTGGACTTGTCTGTTTTCCTTCCTCACAGTTCATTGACTTTTCTTCATTTTTCAAAACATGAAGATATACGTTATTTCCTTCTACTCTGTCTTCTTCTCCTTCCTCCTCTGTAAGGCGTGAATATGCAACTGAGTCAGGTGATGAATCTCTATTCATTAAGATTGGCTCCTCCAGAGAATCATTCTCGCTGTCTTCATCAGCATCGGAATGTCGGCTTTGATGATAATGGTGTCGATGCTGTCGATAGTCGTCCTGTTGATGATGGTCTGAACCACTTGAATATTCGTCATCAAGTAGACATTTTTTCCTTAGTTTATCTATACTACTATATTGAGTAGTATCCTTAAAATCATCGTCATTATCATCACCAGCTGTTAAGCTTTCAGCTATTTTTGTCCATGGTTGTGAAATATGCCAATTTAATTTTTCCTCTTCAGTATTTGAAACATTGTGTTGTGGTGTTGTTATCAAAGGATTTTGATGACATAACCATGCTGGGCATAAGTGTTTCGCTGTTATATATGTACGATATATCCGTCTAGCACGTCTACCTCCAGACTCAAGAAGGTGATTAATACATGACTGTGGTGAAAAGAGAATAACCGAAATAATCAAAGCTTTTCGGTAGGAAATAAATTTGACTACAAACATAATTATGTTTTACATGGGAAAGAGGGCGGGGGGGGAATGAGGATCATAATTCAATTTTACATTTGATCAATTTACTTTTTTATTCAGTACCAAGTTCACAAAAGCAGCCTCTAGCACTGATCAGTCTGAGCATTAAAATGTCAAGAAAAAACTGGATAAATTAATACTCCTAAACTGTGTAATATTCAAACCTACAGTTTCGTCTACAAATCCAGTCCAATTAGTATGGCGTTATTTGTCAATAAGTGTGTAAACAGGATAATATACTCGACTGGGTGATTGTAGCGCATAAGTCCCAGAACTTGATTTTCAACCACTAGGTCAAGGGTTCGAACTAATTTCACTTAAGGACATCTGTGCAGCCAGGTATTACCATACATCTTGACACAATAGATGTGGCTAACTGACTAAAGGATTAACGGGCACATGGTTCTTGGTTTGATTTGTTACTTCATCTACGTAACAGTGAGTTACGACGTATACATAACATAAATGCATAAAATGGACTCCTCAATTTTTTCAATGAATATTCATAAAAGTTATACGGTAGAAAGAAGAAGGTTACTAAACGAACCTAAGAGAACTTAGTTCTTAGTGTAGACACTGAAACTTAGGCGGGTTAGTGCATGTCGCGCGCCTCCACATACATTGGTGCACCATATTCTTTAGAGTAGGATTTCTTGGGAGAAAGTCTGAACTGACTAAACAAAGACATAACTACAATCCATAGAGACAATAACTGTTGGTTTGAGACATGTAGAGTGTAATCTGCTCTGACAAGAACCAGTGGCTGCACAATTTTAGTGACATGGCTCAGAATAGGTCGCTATGCTGCAGATGAAGTCATCTTGGAATTTTACAATGAATATTGTCTCACCATCTCTTATACCGTTCGCTTGGCCTGGGACTAGTTAAAAAATATCGAGAGGTGATCAGTGTATGACGTGCCTCCACTAAGTGAAAGACAGCTGAGCTACATTACGATAGGTTGGTGCCTACCAATTCCCTTTAAGGGGTACGACGTATAACGGATCACATAGGCTTGAGATTATGGCAGAAATGGCTCAGAATTAGTACGAGATTAACGTATGCTTCTCTAATTACCTGTTTTGCAGCTCTTTTTCTCTTCTTCACTCTACGTCACCTTTATATCTTCCTAATGTAGCTATAAATACTTTGTATAACCCATCTCTTGCTACCCATATTCTGCTAAGTGTTTAAGTGAAGAATCAAATGAGGAGCCAGATTTTAAGCAAGCTGAACAATTGGACTCCACTAGATAAATTAATTCGGGCAAACTGTTAGAAAAGCGAACCTGTAACCTGATCCTCTGATATTAAGATCACTGAAATTTGACTATTGAGCATTCGTAACTAGTATGAGCAGTTCTCAATTAATCATATCAGTCTTCATCAAATTTCTCCTGTCGCTGAAACAAGATTTTTGTAAAACTTGTTCTGATTCCCTTTCAGTGTATTATTTTCTCTTTTGTACTTCTTCTCCGTTAAATTCAAGCATTTTAAGTGCTACATTCTAAGTAGTTTCTCAGTATCAATCATATAGTGTATCTCGTTACAAAAACGTTGGCTTTTAGCCACCGTATTTAAACGTACTTGACACAGTCTCTGCCAGAAAAGTCCTACTAACCGTCTTCACGAATCACGCGTGTTTTCCCCGGATGGGAAGGAGAGCAAGCGAATGTCCAGTGCTTGCCACCGGATCAGTAGAATACTGAGGTACACCCAGGGGAGTTGGAAAACCCTGATTCCAAACCAGTGCTACACATGGGCTTCAGGTTCCAAAAGGAGTGAATGGCGTAAGAACCTATTTAAGTCACTGAAAACCATGAGGATGCAGCTCCTGATGTTGCTCCATTACCTTATGGATTAGACTTCAAGTGAAGAGCTCGAGGACTGATCCCACATGACAACCAACTGCTTCGATCCGGGCACCTGGGCAGTATTCCAGCCCTCACACAAAATATGAATTTACAATGTAAAATGAAGATTTACAAGCAATTAACCAACTTGCCTGAAAATACTCAAGATCTCCACACTACAAACATTTTAATCGACTACTCATTTTATTGATATAATATCGTTTTTGTTGCTTCTACATATGAACTGTATTTTTATTATTACCAGTTTCACCCTTGTCTTTATCATCACCTTCACTAATCTGCTCTCCACTGCATGAACTTCTGATCTGTCTGTACAGTTTTGAGTCGCTAAACAGTTGCCCCCAGTGCGACATCCGACTCTGCTATCCTGAGACCGGACATATGGTTCAAGTTCCCCACCGTCAACGTTCACACCTTGATGCAGATCGGACGACAGGCAGATTTGTCTAGCACTTTGGAAAGCCTAGTTATTGATGTGTGCTGCATCTCAGAGACCCGCATACAAGATTACAGTGAAGTGTTTCGAATTGGTTTCCCATCTGTCAGCTTGAAAAGTATGTTTCATGTGCGCTTATTTGTGGATGCTGGGGTAAAGGGAACCGGTCTCTTTGGTGTCGGTGTCTCAGAGCTGAAGCTGCACTACTCGACTGGATCCCCGCCAATAGTTGTCGGTGCACTGTTAGGCTAGAAGGTTTACCTCGAGTGAGAAGTACTCGGCAAGAGAAACGGTGTCTCTGTCGTCTCTGCCTATACTCAGACAGATTGCAGCCCAATGTGTGACACTAAGCATGAATTCTATTATTAACTGTCTGACCTCAACCAAATGCGCTCGACAGATATCATAGTGCTAGCTGGAGACCTGAATGCACAGGTCGAACGTCTAGACTCAGATGAGAGTCGTTAAGTTGGCCAATGGCAACTAGTTGGTCGTAGCAGCCAGCACCAACTTCCAGCACAGCCATCTTCGTTGTGCTGCTTGGCGTCTTTCCGCTGCCACTCAAGCCTGGACTCAAATAGATCATATTGCAATCAGCTGTCGATGGTGTGGGTGCATACAGGACTGCCGCTCCATACTGAGTGCTTGTCTCGACTCTGATCATGCTTATTGTGGGCTGAGCTCGTCTTGCGTTTCGGTGGTTATCAAAATCGTCGTCGTAAACAGGTCGGTGCAGGCAAATTACTTGCACATATCACTGCAGCTAAATACTGACCCGAGCTAGATATAAAGCTAGCTACAGCTCGTACAGAAAGTGTAGACGAGGATTGGATGGACTAGCAAGTGGAAATGAAAATGACGGATAAAGTCGCTTGAGGCTTGGAAGAACTTCCTATTATTAATCTCTAGGTCTCTTGAAGCTCCGTACAACTTCTTGACGCCCGTCGTACGATTCAGGCGCATAGCGAGTACAGTGGTTCGCTCAAGTCCTTTACGTTGAAGATTACACCATGTTTACGCAGGGACCGTGAGGCTTGGTGGTCAGAACACACGAGTGAGACAGAAGCATCAGCTTTATCTGGCAATAGGCGGAAGCTATTCCAGCTCATCCGACACACAGATAGCAAGTAGCGTGACGTCAGTGGAACGGTCTGTCTTGTGGACGGCACGCCGACAAACAATCTTGAAAAGGCATCTGGCAGATGAGCGGAGCACTTCGGAAAGCAATTTAGCTGGCCCACAGCTCCAGAACTGTCAGCCCACACAACTTTACCCCGAATCTTCTTGACGATAGAGAAACGACTCTGATCAGGGAACTGGCTAGAGTGTTTACAGACAGTGTTCCATTACTCTAGAATAAGGTCATTGTGTAGGAAGCGACAAGGAGACGAAGGAAGTAATGTTTGCTATTGACATCTTGTACAGTAGTCATCAAATATTGTACACTTTCTACTAAGACAGTCATTTGGACAATCTGCTTCATTTCCCCTTCTACTTCCATCTTGATTTGCTGTTAATACGCCCACATTGTCTCTTGCGTTTCTCTGGGCGGAATCTCTACCCATTGTTGGTAATTCCCTATGATTTCTACCACCCTCTCAACATATACTACTTATATCCATTCTGATCAGCAGCGCCCACTACAATTATTGTGCTAATCTTTGAGAAGGGTCTACATAGTGTGTGTGACAATCATCGTGGTATTAGTCTGTTACCAGCAGCATCGGAAATATTGGCGGCCATCATACTTTGCTGAAGTTGCAAAACACGTGAGAAAATGACTCAGGAGGGTCAGCCCGCCTTTCATTCACGTCGTGGATGCATTGATCACGTGTTTACCCTCCTCCAGATACGTAAACAGCGCCACACGTATTGGAGGCCAACAATCGTTGTATTTCATGCCATCAGGTCTGCCTTCAATTGGTTGGACAGAGCTGTACTCTGGGATTGTCTGTTCGAGAGGTACGTGCCTGAGAAGTGTATTCACATCCTGAAAGTACTACACAATAACGCCTCAGGTAGAGTGAAGGCATACAAACACCTGTGTCCATTGTTCCAAAGAAGTAGTAGGGCAGGACAGGGTTGCCCGACTTCTCCATTCCTCTTTAACTTTGCCATCGATGACATTCTTGAGACAGGTGTGAAGGAGGTGCGTGTTGGTGGTGTATATCTACTACCTGGATAGCGGCTATTCAACCCTGAATATGTGGACGACATCGTCCTACTGTGCGATAACACATAGGCTACTGAAATCGCACTTAATTAGTTGGCGTTTAGTATCCGTAAGTATGGTGTTCAATTTAAAGAAATAAGGGAATATGATAAGATGATCACGATGGAGGTAAGATGTGGATAAATCTGTGCTGCTGATATCAGTCCTGAACGAAATCCACTTCTCATTACAGCTGTCACGTGACCCCCAGGCAGAAAGTCTTCCCTTCCCTTTGGTGGTCAGACAAGGAAGGAGTGAAATACTGCATGGACTGTTACCATGTTTTAGTTTAGCCACCTTTAGTGCTTTTCCTTACTGAACCCTTTTCAGGTAACATTATGCTTCGGAGAACAAGATGACTAGGTATGTTTAATGCATGTCTTAGATACTTCAGTTGATTAAAGTCTACATCTCATTCTGCCTAGGACTCTACGTAACCAACTTGGTAGTCTGATGACACAGGTTCAACCTCCATATGCCCGTAATATTCATGGCCAATTGTCAAAACGAGAGCGAAGTGGTGTGCAGCAAACTCAAAAGTCAGAGATAAGTGAAACATTCCAACCAACTGAAACGAACGATTTAAAGCCAACCACAAGCGTATGTCGATCTCAGTCATACTCCCGACTCATAGCTGCTACCTTGACGTGGTGGTCGAGCTTCCTTCCATATCACAATGACCCAACCAACTATTCTGGTAGAATGCTTGTCTCCTTGAGGACCTACGATACATGGTAGGTCTCTTATATAGTGATGAGACGAAAAGCAGTTGCTGTTGTGATGTAAATTGAAACACCATGATGGGGTTACGAGGGCGAATTCGAACTACTGACTGAATGGGAGTGTGACAGTAGTAAGTTTTTTCTAACGGATGACCGGCAGTACCGTGATGATGTTGCCTTCCCTATGTGAAGGGAGCAGGATTACGAAAGGTTGAAATTAAAAGTAACAAGCTTCCCCCTGACTCCGCCGCACATGGATGCCGGAGATGTGAGATCACAGTCGGATTTCTGTGACCAGCCTCAGCAGATATCTCTTGGCTCTGGGGTTTCACACCAATGCTTCTTGAGGTACCTTATGAAGGACGAGGCTTCTATCGTATGGGTAGTCGGGAAGTGTCAACGGCCTTACCACACATTGTCAGCGCTCAAGTGCCCTGAGACCAGTCAGTGTCCACGTTCCACATGCTTTCCTTGCAATCTTCCTTCACATCGTTAGCTCAGTTAACCTAGATCATCTTTAATTCTTTACAGTATTGTGGTTCTTGAGAAAAATCTGAGTTCATGGAACAGCATACCTGATGTTCTGAGATGGCGCTGGAAAATTACATATTGGAGCTTTCAATGTCTATACGTTCCGTCAAATCAGTCAACAAGTCTCATTAGCAAAATCTTTAGAATTACATGTTAAATTTATTTATTTGATATATAGCACACAGTAATACAGTACTATCTTATTTGATGACTTCTAGAGTATAAATTATATCAGTGATATAAATAGGTTAATGGGGAGTTTTGTTTTCAAGGTAGTACTCTTGAGGAGTTCTGTACTAGGATAAAACATCTGTCCAGTACTCCCAGGCTTTTAATGGTTCTCCAACTGATGTCAGTCTATGATGAACACTACCTTATGTCCAACTCACTTTTAAGTAATATACAAAAAGAAGTTACTCTCACCTGTAATCGGCTAATTTCAGCATTTTCAGATCGAATTCGTGCTCTTAAATCTGCTTGTATGGCAATTAATTCTTGTTTACGTGCTTTATAATACATAATTTTACGTTGATTAGGATCTTGTAGAACAACATTAGTCGTTGTTGTTATTGTTGTTGTGTCATCGGTAAGAAAATCAGTGAATTCTTTCAACTTTGGTGCTAAATCAGATGGTGGTGGTAATGATGGTGAATTATTCATTAAATAATGAGAGTTTGTAAAGCTAGAAATTGTTTGACTCGGGTATACAGTAGTAATCTTTGAGTTTTGATTGTATAGATCATTATCCGTTTTAAGTGAAATTTTTGTTGGGTGGATACAATTTAGATCATTCGCTTCTTCAATGACCTTATGTAACAACAGAGCAATGTAACAAGAAGAAAAAACAGAAGAGATTATGATTAAACAGGGGAAAATGTGAAGTAATAAAAAAAAAAGTATCCATTGTGCAACATGATATAATTGACTGATTGTTATGAATAGTTAGTAGGAGACTATCTAAATTAACTTAGCGGTATACCATATGTTGGCTGAAACTGTTGGCTAAAGATTGACGTAAGACTTGAAGTTGTCAAATAACAGTTCACGCTGTCACAAGTTTATTCATCCGATCAAAGAAAGACGTCACCACAATGATGATGAAATGAAATATGATCAAAAGCTTTGTCGACAAAAAAGCAAACAGATTAACAAAAACAACGAGATGTGGTTAACCGATTAAAATGGAAGTCGGACATGTAGGCATCAGTGCCATTGAGGTCATTTCACCTAGAGTTCCGTAAATTAGATAGACGATGTTATCCGATAAAGCTTCATTCAATACGGTCACCCTCAAAACAAAATAAAAACAACCATAATCCACTTAGCAATTACCAGCACATTTATGCAGCAGTCAAGGAGCCACATCTGTTTGTTTGACGGCTAATGATATTACCTGGGGAGCCTAAACCTTGTTTAGTTGAGGGAGATGTGAATGCCTGATCCACTGATTGGAAGTCAAGTAGCTAGAACAATGAGCGACAATCAATCTCAACGTTTCTCTAATCTAAACATAATTCAGTTAACACAATGTGTAGAAATAGACTGTAATTCAATATGAGTAAGGTATGCTTCAGTCATATGACACAGTTTAAGTACTACACATTTGTTTCACTCTCTTAAGATCAAACTCCTTGAAAATGCAATCACAGCAGTTTACGTTGGGTGACATCAATTCAGTTAACGATTTTGACAAAATAAGAAAGTTTAGGAGAGAAAAACACAATTAATACTGGATGATGATTGAAGGCAGTAATACGAAAACCTGGATTATGGCATGACTTGAACCAGTGGGATTCGGAGTTACCAGCCAGATGATCTACTGACTGAATTACGATAAACCAGCTGTTGATCAATCATAGAAGAGTTTTGAAAATCTAATAATCTGGACTGAGAGTTAACATTGCTAAAAAGAAACTAACCGAAAGAAAGTGATATCTTAACTGTATAAAATAATGGGTCATTTACCAATTGACTAAAAATTTCTTACTGTATCGAATTGAAGAAGTTGATGATACAACCTGGTTGCCCAAAGTTCAACAGATATAATGGGGCTCGAACCTACGATCTACTACCTGAAAGTTGAATACCCAAACTACTATGTATCTCATTAGTTTCAGCCACACTTCATATGGGATTTATGCAATTAATACTGAATTTGTTTGATTGCTTTTCGAAGAGCTAGTGATATGAATTTTACGACAGAATAACAGAAAGAAACTAACGAAAACATACACCAACTATTATTATTATTTGTCCCTTGGGTTCCTAATGGAACATAGGGCTTCGGCAGCACGCCTCCATTGCACTCTGTTCTCTGAAATCTTTTGAACCCGGCTCCACGACAGCCCAGAAGCTCTCATTTCCTCCTCGCACGATCTCCTCCATGTCACCTTCAGCTGGGACGCTCAACTCGTCGCTTCCCATCTGGGTTCCACTCGAGTGCCTGGCCTGACGCGTGACGTCCTCAATCGGCCTTCTCAGAGCATATCCAATCCATCTCCACTTCCTTCTGCATATTCGTTGAGGAATAGCTTCTTGGTTGGTTCGTTACCCAGCCAGAGTTCCTTCTTGCTTATTCTTATTATTCTGGCCATCTGAGCTTCAGTATTCAGCCAGCATAGGCGGTTGTTAATGAATATCTGTAGTTTGTTGGAAATCCCTTTCGTAACGCGCCAAGCCTCTCAACCACATAGAAGCACTGACTTGACTGAAATGGTGTTGAAAATCCGGATCTAATTCACGCTTTATGCTGAGTGCAGTGCAGTGGATCTCCACACCGGTTTCAGGTTAATGAACGCCCGTCTTGCTTTTCCGATCCTGGCTTTGACGTGCTCGTCTGTGCTGTTGCCTGTGGTTGAAACGATGCTGCCTAGGTGATAGTTGAAAGACGCTACTTCAAGTTTCTCCCGTTGATGGTGATTGGAGGTTGGTGTTGGTGTTGGTTAGGTATAATCATCACCTCTGTCTCCTCTATATTCACTTGAAGTCCCGTCTTCGCTGCTGTGCCTCTTTTGTTAACTTGTTGGGTTTTGCCTGTAGATCTTCAAGTTTGTGTGACATTAGACACAAGTCATCGGCGAAATCCAAATCTTCTAGGATCTTTTCCCCAGTCCAGCGTATCCTCCTCTTCTCGCTCCTCACGATTTGTTGCATGATCCATTCGACTACAATCAGGAAGATCATCGGTGATAGTAGAGAGCCTTGTCTTTACACTATATATATATATATATATATATATATATATATATATATATATATATATATATATATATATATATATATATATATATATGCCTCTTGACTGGAGTCCTCGATAAAATACGAACCAATAGTTGAAGACTCTTGGTGTTGTGACTCAAAATAGGTCACAATAGCGAAGATGCGTTACTCCTTGAGGTCTTCTAAAGTTTGAATATTTTCGCTGGCCTTCATTTTCAAACTGTTTCACCTCCCATACACTTGATTATTTTGATATTACTTTTTTCTACCCAGTTGCCTTTTACATGCAGCTGAGAATTGTGGCAAATTGAACCAATGCATTTGTGTGCAATGTTCTACGTTGGTTTTGTCTGTCTAAGATCCATATAACAAAAAGAGCAATAATAGAAGAGAAATGCAACACGACGATTGGAATGAAAATGGAGTTGTGGGGGGAAAGACCAACAACAGTTAGTGAGACTATAGCGGAGAAGGACGGATCTGCGATTCAATGGCAGGGGAGACGACTGGAACGATGGGCAGAACACTTCGAGGAACAGTTTAACTGGCCCCCAGCCACCATTGCGTTGCCCGCTATCCAGTCGAATCCTGAATGGAACATTGAGATAGGGGCCCCCAACACTTGCAGAAGTCGAGAAAGCGGTAGGTAACTTGAAACGAGGAAGGGCAGCAGGACCGGACAGACTAACTCCTGAGGTATGCAAGGATGGTGGTAAGGTGCACTTAGTCAGGTTAACGGAAGTGTTAACCAGTATATGGGAATCAAATACGATCCCTCTGACTGGTCAGAATCACTGATTATTCCAGTCTTCAAGAAAGGTGAGAAGTCGTCTCGTGATAACTACAGAAAAATCAGCCTGACGAACATAGTGTTCTGCCCATCGTTCCAGTCGTCTCCCCTGCCATTGAATCGCAGATCCGTCCTTCTCCGCTATAGTCTCACTAACTGTTGTTGGTCTTTTCCCCCAGTCTCCTTAATAAGTCTAAATAACTGTCTACTGTTACCGATCGCCGCTGCCTTTTCCATCCGTCTCTTTAGCCTTGACTGCCCACCACTGTTCGCGATCGTTGCGCAGACTTTTCACCAGTCTACTTTTAAGTAGCACTCGCTCTTCATTGTACTCAGAGCCTTCAGGGATGCGTTCACGTGCATCCATTAGTTCGGAAGAAGCTGTTGACATCCACTGGCTCTTTTTAGCCACTATTTTGGAGTCAGTTACAGTATTCAGTGCTGCTTTTACAGCAGACTGAAGAAGGCACCAAGCTTCTTCTTGATGGGTGGCAGTCTTTTGTTCCGATAACTGCCTAGCCAACTTCTCACTGAACACGGCTTTGGTGTTTTCGTTGTCCAGCAGCACTCGTAGTGGTTTTGTTGCCAAATATTTCTTACATCCATTGAGACGCAGGCATATATGCGTTCGGACCAACGCGTGATCGCTATCCAAACACGTACTCCAGAAGGAGTGACAGTCTTCCACCGATCCTCTCCAGTGATGACTAATAGCAATATGGTCTATCTGTGTCCATCGCTGAGTTGAGCTCGCTGGATGCCACGTCAGACAGTGTCTTTCTTTATGTCTGAAATTTGTGCTAGCTACAAACAGGCGGTTATCTGTTCGTTCAGCTGGGATTCGGAAAGTGTTACCTAAGTGCCTTTCTGCTTCACTCAGTCTACTCACCTGCGATGCGCGTTGAAGTCACCTGCAACAACCACCACGTCCGAACGTTTGGCTTTCGAGAGGAGGCTAGACAGTGTACGGTAGAACTCGTCCTTCACTTCATCCGAAACACAGTCAATGGGTGCGTAAGCAGAGATTACAAAGAGACAACGGCGAGTCCCCCTGTTCCTTTTAGTTCTTACCGTGCCGTTCAGTCGGATAGCGCAGAGGCGACTATCAACCGGGATCCAGTCTAGTAGTGAGTTTTCTACTCTAGTACTTAATACGATGCCTACACCTGCAAGACCACGAGAGCTGGTTATTGAATCTCCAGAAACTAAAAGGGTGAATTTTGCGGATTCATCAGATTGTCCAGGAGAGGTCAGGTGAATAACCGCACTTGGGTCCTGTATGCGTGTCTCACAAACACAGCACATATCCATGGCCCGAGTTGCTAGAGTCTTTGCCAACGAAGCCTGTTGACCAGCTTGATGGAGGGTGCGGACATTGAAGGCTCCACTATGTAATTTCGGAGCGTGGTTTAAGGAGACCAAGGATGCTGTTCTGTGGACTCAGATCGTTGTCGAAGGCTGCAGAGCTAGGAGAAATTGATGATGATGTGGTGTCGTTAATTGAGACGTGAAGGAAGGTGATGATGTGGATAGCCGTCTGAGGAAACTTGAGTGCTGATCGAGTTGTGAGGGCGGTTGACACTTTCTGGCTGCCCTGCCTTAAGGCACCTACCTGGAAGAGATTTGTGTGACCGCAGAGTCCATCAAACATCTGCTTGAGGTCTGTTACACGCAGCCTTTTGTGTATGATTATTTTGTATTTTTGGGGCCGGATGGTCGAAAGGAAACGACAGATGAACCAACACCGGTCCGGCAGACCGTGGGGTATGGTGGAGTGTTTTATTTTTGGGGCTGACCTTTTCTAACCCCCGCCCCCCGTTCCACTGAGAAGGCAGCATCAGCACGGCACTGATGGTCATCCAAGCGAAACGTCTTGCTGCTGTCACACTCCATCCATCTAGGAGTATTACGACTTCACCCTCAGACCCCCCCCCATCATAGTGTAGTAATTTACACCACAACTCCATTTTCATTCCAATCGTCGTGTTGCATTTCTCTTCTATTATTGCTCTTTTTTGTTATATGGATCTTAGACAGACAAAACCAACGTAGAACATTGCACACAAATGCATTGGTTCAATTTGCCACAATTCTCAGCTGCATGTAAAAGGCAACTGGGTAGAAAAAGTAATATCAAAATAATCAAGTGTATGGGAGGTGAAACAGTTTGAAAATGAAGGCCAGCGAAAATATTCAAACTTTAGAAGACCTCAAGGAGTAAACGCATCTTCGCTATTGTGATCTATTTTGAGTCACAACACCAAGAGTCTTCAACTATTGGTTCGTATTTTATCGAGGATCTCAAGAGGCATATATATATATATATATATATATATATATATATATATATATATAGTGTAAAGACAAGGCTCTCTACTATCACCGATGATCTTCCTGATTGTAGTCGAATGGATCATGCAACAAATCGTGAGGAGCGAGAAGAGGAGGATACGCTGGACTGGGAAAAGATCCTAGAAGATTTGGATTTCGCCGATGACTTGTGTCTAATGTCACACAAACTTGAAGATCTACAGGCAAAACCCAACAAGTTAACAAAAGAGGCACAGCAGCGAAGACGGGACTTCAAGTGAATATAGAGGAGACAGAGGTGATGATTATACCTAACCAACACCAACACCAACCTCCAATCACCATCAACGGGAGAAACTTGAAGTAGCGTCTTTCAACTATCACCTAGGCAGCATCGTTTCAACCACAGGCAACAGCACAGACGAGCACGTCAAAGCCAGGATCGGAAAAGCAAGACGGGCGTTCATTAACCTGAAACCGGTGTGGAGATCCACTGCACTGCACTCAGCATAAAGCGTGAATTAGATCCGGATTTTCAACACCATTTCAGTCAAGTCAGTGCTTCTATGTGGTTGAGAGGCTTGGCGCGTTACGAAAGGGATTTCCAACAAACTACAGATATTCATTAACAACCGCCTATGCTGGCTGAATACTGAAGCTCAGATGGCCAGAATAATAAGAATAAGCAAGAAGGAACTCTGGCTGGGTAACGAACCAACCAAGAAGCTATTCCTCAACGAATATGCAGAAGGAAGTGGAGATGGATTGGATATGCTCTGAGAAGGCCGATTGAGGACGTCACGCGTCAGGCCAGGCACTCGAGTGGAACCCAGATGGGAAGCGACGAGTTGAGCGTCCCAGCTGAAGGTGACATGGAGGAGATCGTGCGAGGAGGAAATGAGAGCTTCTGGGCTGTCGTGGAGCCGGGTTCAAAAGATTTCAGAGAACAGAGTGCAATGAGGCGTGCTGCCGAAGCCCTATGTTCCATTAGGAACCCAAGGGACAAATAATAATAATAATAATGGTGATAAACAGTTACCCGCGTAATCATGAGTAGAAATGGAAGGATTCTTTAAACTGTTACTCCCTTCTCATTTATACTCACCAATGAATGAACAGCCAAACAATGTCATCTTCACTCATATTTCATCATTCAGTGCTAACAGCCTAATCAAAATAATAAGCATAATAACATCGCGGTTTGATAGAAGTAGGAAAGTGTGAACCATCGGACTCAAACCCAGTGGCTCAATCGTAACGTGCTCGCATATATATATATATATATATATATATATATATATATATATATATGTATATGTTTTCAGAAAGCGTTTAAGTGTTAACTTCACCAATGAAAGTGCAAAAAATGAATGGATTAGGAGCATTATAACAGTAATGTATTTTTGAGATGAATGGGGATTTTAATTTACAGTAGCTTTCATCATGTACTGATATCAGTAGGGGAACCATTGAAAATCTGGGAGCACTGGACAATTGTTTCGTCCTAGTATGGGACTCCTCAGCAGTACGCACCCACTGATATCAGTCCATGATGAATACTACTTCTAAATTAAAAATCCTCATTCATCTCACAAATATATTACTGTTAGTGCTCATTAGTGACTTACTTCCAGATGGATATCATAAAGCTTTAATGAGGAGTCGCAACCTGTGGGGTTAACCAGTCGGAAGTGAAGTGGATGCTAACTGAAGACCTTGGGTGATGGTCGCGCTACATCGTGAATTGATAGAAGTTGGAAATTGTGAACCACTGAAAACCGGCCCAGTGGCTGAGTGGTTAACGTGTTAGCCGTGTAAGCTGAAGGTCCTGAGTTCGATCCCTAGCCGGGTCGTGGGTGCGTACTGCTGACGACTTCCTTAATAGGACGAAACAGCTGTCCAGTGCTCCCAGATTGTCAATGGTTCCCCAACTGATGTCAGTCCATGATAAATACTACTTTTATCCATTCCTACTGCTACTACTAGTGGGTGCAACTGATAAGAATGCATATAAGTAGTATATGTTGAGAGGTTGGGAGAAGTCATAGGCAATTACGAGCGATGGATGAATCGTCTGCACAGAGAAGCACAAACGATGATGAGAGAATGTACAAACTGTCATGATATGCAATCCTTCTGCAATTCACCGTTTTCCTTCAATATGAACACTATTTTGAAGCATTGTGAGCTATGCCTACTTATAGTAATCAAACTTGCATAGCTTAAGTCTGTTCTGCACGCTAACAGCAGCTGAAGTATACAGTATGAATAACAGACTTTATACATCTACTAAAACAATGAAGAGTAGATGATGAGTAATGTATTTTTTTTACCATCATATTAGCAAGGAAGATCAATAATAACCTTGAACTTACTTGGTCATGATTGGTTGGAATTTGGTTTAACTTTGCAGTAGATTCATCTTGTTGACTTTCATGAATATCAGAGATGGATATAGTATCAGGATGAGTTTCAATACCATCTGTAGAGTATCCAGTAGACGTTGTAGAAGTATTCGTTATTTTAACAGTCTCTTTCAGTGATGCATTAATATCTTGATCTTTCTTATCATCATCACCATCATCCTGTTTACAGTCAATAGTTCATTGGGAGATTTTAACAGTTTACTCTCATCATCATTTACTAGTAGTGGTGTTGTTGTTGTTGTTGTTACCACAGTTGTGGTTACAGATGAGATTTCTTTCTTAATTGTCTCCTCATTTACTGATGAAATTGTTGGTGTTTGTGAGCATACTACTGTATTATCACTATAAGTAGCACTGTTGAGTGTTTTAGAGCAAGGTAATTCATCATCACCAGTCACTGTTGTTGTTGTGATTAGAATTGGTTCAATTGGTAATTTCCTGTAAACAGAAATCATTTCATAATATCAAGAGATGCAAATTTCATCATGGTCATGATCATGATCATCATCAGAGAGTAAAATGTTTAGAAATAAAACTATGAATAAGTGATAGATAAGAGAATATTATGGAATATTCTCTGGAAGAAAATGACTGTTTGTGTGTACGTGTGTATACACAAGCAGATGCATTTTATAGTGGCAGAGAAACCAATCACAAAATACTAATAATATTTTTTTGAAAAAGGTTTTTTTTTAAAATCAGTATTTTTGTATTTAATTAGCACACATTAAGATAAATTCCATTTATGTTGATTTAATGAACATACACACACACACACACACATACGATAAGTACACCCACACAAACAAATAAATGACGAAAAAATTTAGTATAGACCAGAAAAGGTGTACAGTATCACGATCTATAATTGATTGAATTTTGAGATCGGATCGGATTAGTATATTTTTGTCTTACAGCAGGCAGAAAGCAGTAGATCCGATAAATATCTAAATGTATTTACCGCTGTTGGTTCATGTTCAGTTTTTGTCTACTTTTTAAAAAACGTTCTGAATAGTCCAACTAACAAGAAACAGACTAATCAGTTGTTACATATTCTTACTTAGGTGACTTTCTTAAACATTTAAACAGAAATGGTCATGTGATGTTGAAGAAAAACACTATATAGGTGATTTAAACCTAACCTGGAATGTGGTCAGTAATCACACTCAGCACAGTTCACCTGAAACAGTAACCAACTTGATGATTCAGCTGAAATATTTTATCTTATAAAGAGATAGATAATTTCTTGTGCTGAATGCATCACTGTCCAGACTTCAATAAATAGAGTATGATTTGAAAACTGGGATTATTTGTACCAGTAAGCGACAGTTCCACTCCAAGAAACCTTGAAAAGGAGAAAAACATCCATTGATCACCTGGGTATAACCAATTTTCTGAGTACTGACCGAACCCAATCAATTACTTTTTAATATGGTCACCAGGCTAGGGAGACTTAGTATTGCCTCTATCCAGCCAACATCATCAATCAGAGTCCACCGTGATGCTTGATCTTCTAGACTGATGACTACACTATGAAGTAATCGATAGAATTTGATCAACCCTGACGACTGGAAAAAAATGAGATTGTTGCTCTTCAGTAGCCGATCACTTCTACAAGAGGTCACTTATTCGTAGCATAAAGAAAATGATGTGATTGAAAGCATGTTTCATTAGTGGTGGCTGGGGAAAAGTTGTCATTCATTCATTGGCTTACACTTTAGCAGAACTGGTGAGACATAAAGATACTGACCAATGACCAAATCTATTTCGATAGTAATTTTTATCACAGACTGACTTCAGATTAGGAACCATTGGGAAACTAAGAGCACTATTTCATCGCACACTGAGAGTCCTCAGCGGCGTGTGCTCATGACCTCGTCAGGGATCGAGTGAAAGATAATCGGGTTTCATAGCGACAGCGTTAACACTGGGTTAAAACCAAAATGAGTTATCTAAATCCTACCTCCATGAATTCATCACAACATAGCACAATCATCAACAAACGTTATTGGCAGGTATTACCTCATTTTCAACTTGGTTGACTCACTACAGGTTACGACTTGTCACTACAACTTCAAGAAATCCACCTAGAAACAAATGACTAATGAGTACTGGAAATTTCGTACGCATAAACTCACTCTTCAGTGAAAACTTATGACCAGTAATTATGATTGTGAAAAAAATGCAATTATTGGGCATTAATCTGTTTCCCATGCAGAAAGTCAGTTACTTTATTTTTGTAAACCACAGATGACGAACTTCAATCTTATCATGTACCAAATGAAAGTCAGAGCAGGAGAAGAGGAGGCATAAATTATGGGACAGATCCATGTTTTAGCTATGAATACGCTATGTTGGGGTTCTATACAGTATTATTAATCACATGGTAGAATAGAGATATAAGCGGATTTGACGATCATAACGTAGGAACACATAGAATGACTTTAAAGGTCACCGTGCCAACTGTTGAAATAAGCAATTGGGTATCAGTATTCCGACTAGAAAGGCAGTTTTTCATAAAATAACGAAAATCTAGCGGTCGCTAGAGTGGTGTTTAAAGTTATACGATTTAAAAGAATAACAAAGAGTTTAAAGGCTACCCTTATAAATGAAATAACCAATTAGACGTTTCCAATTAATGAAAATATGTTTAGTATTATTGCTCGTATATCCATCATTACTATAATTAAAAACAGAGGTAATATTGAGGTATCTGCGCAGGAGCCCATATGCCAACAGAGACCGGTCAGTTGCGTCCAAGCAACAATACTAAAACTATACCCGTCGCAGAAGAAGTGGTTATCGTGACTCGGTGGTCTAGTGAATAACGCTCTGGCGTTTGAAGCGATAGCTCCCGTGTCCAAATCCCTTTGTTCTACTAGGGTTTTTGCTTATTTTTTTTCTTAATGTTGCGCTATTTTTCATCTGAGTGCCTTCCAGCTTAAATGTGCTGATATGAACTAAGCTAACTTGGATAGTAATCTAGTTAATTTCAAAGTGCATACTGACTGACGAACCAACTATTCTCCTATATGTCGCATAGAAGATTCCCCAGTATTATTATTTATTATAAGTATTTCAAAGTATGACAACGTGAACTATACACTATTTTCTCAGATATTAGGACTTAGTTACTCTATTTGCCTCGCAAACGTATCATAAACTTGAGGCAATAGTACACACATACACAATATCCTTACCTTAATGTCAGATTAAGTACTTCTTCTTGATCCAATTCTGAAATTGATGGTATAATCAATGGAGCACCAGACATATATAACACAGATGGTGGTTGACAATATGCTGTTGTTGATGATAGAGGTGGTGATGCTGTTGCAATTGTTCTTGTTGTTGTTGTCGTCGTTATTGTTGTATTGACCTCTGAATTAATCACCGTTGAAGATGGTTGTTGTTGTTGTTGTTGTTGTTCATTCGACTTTTCATGTTGTTTCAACTTACGCTTAAGCATTGTTATTTGACGTTGAACTTCCCATAACTCATCAGAATATGGAATTTTTTTATCCGTTAATTGACGCTGATGATGTTGATGGCTCTTTGAGGGCTTTTCGCTTCCAGTAATTCTAATGCATATATATATATATATATATATATATATATATATATATATATATATATAATGATACAGAAATGTAGAAGATATTCACAAATACCACGATAATTAGCCGTTTAAATTGGAACGACAACAATTAATTGGTTGAGATAAACATAAATAACCAGGTATACAAGCTTCTACGTTAACAGAAACACAAACACACCATTGATTCCACAGTTTTGTTTATCTAACTTACTTCAAATTTTGAATGAATAAGAATATCAAGTGAAAGTGTTTACTATACACACTGGTTATTGCATGCTTTACAACTAACTGTAAGTGGGGCTAGCAGTGGAATTCAAAAAGTAATTCCATCCTATGTGAAACTCATCAGCCGACTGTAGATAATTTCTAGTGACTGGTTGCGTTTCTATGGTCACTCAAATACTTCACTTCAAATATTTCAGCGCTACTCTCTGGGCCAGAGAGCCGCTTTCTTATTCAACGAACAGATAGACAATAAGAGGAAATTACGAAATCCAAGTAATAGAGTTCAGACAGTTCACATCAAATACAGAGATCAACTTGAAAAAAGTAACTACATTGAAATGTAGAAAGCATTAGAGAACCACTTTATTACAGTGTGATTTTTTTTTTCACCAATAAGGTTAACATTAGATGATGTTTATGAGATATGATAAAATCATCGTAACTGAGGGATATTTCACTGTTTAACTTTAAGGTGATTAGTTAAACGATAAAATGTTTACCAAGAAATGCGGATGTCGTGTTTATGTTTGTGTCTGAAATTGAGAGTGAGCACATATGATTGCAAACAAAACTGAAAAAAAATGTCTATTAAGGTGACAAACACATTACACTAACACACGTGTGTAAATTAAAAGATCCGACTCTTCATTGGAAATAATAAAACTGTGTTTATAAGGTAAACTGTTGTGAATACGATGCCACATGCATTGAAGAGACATCCACATCAAGTACTTAATGCCTTTAACCGAACACAGTCGAATTTGCAAAAAACTACTGAAAAATTTCTATGATCTGGAAAACTTTGAAAAAAAACAAACAACTGCTATCGCGGCTGATGCCTTATCTTCAAGTCATAAATATCA